ACCACATTCGCTGACCTCCCTACCTCAGGCACTTCACATTTGCCTAAAATTGGATAATATGTGCTATAGGATGAATCAGGCACAGGGATACAATCAAAAAATGGACTTTTTAAGAAAAGGTCCTGGGAAACTTCTATCCACAGCTAGCACACATAGGCGGAGCCACTAGACCACCATTACCGACAAGATATCAACCCAGACCAAATTATTATTATGGGCAACCTCAATCAAATAGACCTTTGCAAAACCATTATATGAATAATCCCCAACAAATGTAGATCATCCCGGACCTGCATGGAACACACAGGCAGGACAATAGAAGTTACCCAAACCAGAACCAATGGACATTGATAGGTCCTTACAGACAAGACAGGTTAATTACATCAATAGACCACAATTTAATCCCGCAATTAAAAGACCACTAGGATCATACCAAGGGCCATCACCAAAAGTGCAACGTAATTTTCATTTGAATACAGGAAATTATACTGATCAAATAATTGAGACGGGGGAAAATCATCCCGGTTATGAACAGCAGGCGGATACTGGAAATACTTCAGATTTAATTAACTACTCTAACACTATGGCTGAGGAAAATGTAGAGGATTTATTGGAGCAAGGAGATAATGATATTCGAGTTTCCGATAATATATTCCCTGATGAGAGTTATAACGCTGATTTAAATTTTTTTGTATAAAAAGTTTCCTCGTTGCCATTTTTTACCGTCTAAAAACGAGGAACGGACGAACATTACGGATACTCGTTGATACTGGAAGCAACAAAAATTACATCAAACCTAGTTTAGTTATCAATCCACAACCAAATCAAGAATTATTTGCCGCTAGAGCAGTTAAGGAGGAAATTAATGTATCTCATCATACGTATTTAGACATTTTCGAAGGGAAAGTGCAACCATTGCAGTTTTTCCTTCTGCCTGGTCTTAAGACTTTTGATTGCATTTTGGGTAATGATACAATGAGAGAACTTTCGGCGGTTATCCATACCAAAGAGAATTATCTCACCCTAGCTGGAGTAGGAAAAATACCAACAAGCCAGCATTGTTTCCAAGATGTAAAGAATATAGAACTGCATTTGGACCACTTATCAGGGGATGTAACCTCCACAATGGAGAATATTGTGACACAACATAGCAAGCTATTCGCAGAACCTGATGAGCGACTAACTTATACCACGAAAGTGGTTGCAAAGATAGATACAACAACGGATTCTCCTACATACACGCGGAATTATCCGTACCCTTGGGCATTGAGAGAAGTTGTAGACAAGGAAAGAGAAAAAACTATTGAGGGATGGGATAGAGGAAATATTTTCTACATTGGAAGATGCAAATATGAAGGTTCAGCTCGATAAATGCGATTTTTTTAAGGAAGAAGTAGAATTTCTAGGGTTTGTTGTTTCAGGAGGAGGGGTGAAAATGAATCCAAAGAAAGTAGAGGCAATAACGAACTTTCCATATCCAACCAATTTACGAGAGTTGCGTGAGTCTAGAAAAATAAAAATTTTCCTGAGCAATATAGAAAAGGAAGCAATTGATTCCTTGAAAAATGCAATAATATCACCGGAAATTATTTTATCTTATCCCAATTTTGAAAAGGATTTCCACTTGACGACAGACGCATCCAATAGAGCTATAGGTGCAGTTTTAAGTCAAGAAGGACGGCCTGTGACATTTATATCCAGAGCCCTTTCTGAAGAAGAAGAAAATTATGCCACTAACGAGAGGGAAATGTTGGCCATAGTCTGGTCACTCTACAACCTTAGGAATTACTTATATGGGACTGCCAAAGTTATAATCCATACCGACCATCAGCCGCTCACATACGCTCTTAGCAATAAGAACGCTAATACCAAAATGAAGAGATGGAAGGCAATACTCGAGGAATATAACTATGAAATTAAATACAAACCTGGAAGTACAAACGTAGTAGCTGACGCCTTATCCAGGCCACCCATTTCAAGTATTCATACCTTAACGGGATCGGTACATAGTGCTGAAAGCTCGGCAGAAGATCTTATACCGAGTGTCGAATTACCAATTAATGTTTTCAAGAATCAGATATTTCTGACGATAGGCGAAGAAACATCATACCAATTTCAAATAGTATTTCCGGGTTATCATAGGCATACCATTGTAGAGAGGGAATTTACTGAAGAAAAGTTGCTTGCATTATTAAAAAGATATCTAAATCCTTCTGTTATTAATGGGATAAAAACATCAGAAGAAGTTATGGGAAAAATCCAAGAAATATATTTACAACACTTTGTCAATATTAAAGCCCGTTTCACGCAAAAAGTAGTCATGGACATTACATCAGAATCTATGGAAGAAGGTATAATTATTGATACCCATAAACGAGCACACCGGAACGCTGTTGAAAATAAAGCTCAAATTATGGAAAAATATTATTTTCCAAGTATGATGAAAAAAATTAAAAGAATTGTGAAATTATGTACCATCTGTAAAATAGGAAAATATGACCGACACCCCAATGACCCCAAATTATGCGAGACTCCTATACCAACATATCCAGGGCAGGTAGTTCATATAGATATCTTTTCAACCGATAAAAAGCTGGTATTGACTGCCATAGATAAATTTTCCAAGTATGCACAGGCAAGGATTTTAAACGGCAAATCTGTGGAAGATATCAGAAAATCTCTACGAGACGTGATATTTTTCTATGGAGTTCCGAAGACTATAATTATGGATAATGAGAAGTCTCTTAACTCATCCACTATTTTATTTATGATGAGAGACGAATTAGGTATTGAAGTTGTGACAACTCCACCATATAGAAGTGAAGCTAATGGACAAGTGGAACGTTTCCACTCTACATTAGCGGAAATAATGAGATGTCTAAAGCAGGAAGAAATTTGCAGAAACTTTGAGGAACTATTAGAAAAATCGGTGAACGAATATAATCATTCAATTCATTCGACCATTGATAGGAAACCAGTAGATATTTTCTTTGGCAGGACAGTAGACTTTTCTCCGGGAAGCTACGATAGAACTAGGCAAACAAACATGGAAAAGATCAAGGAAAAGCAACAAAAGGACATGAAATACCACAATAAAAAGAGAAAGGATTTCAAAGCATACATTCCAGGGCAAACAATATTCGTAAAAATTAACAAACGTTTAGGCACAAAACTTACTGAAAAATACAAAGAAGAAATTGTAAAAGAGGATAGAAATTCAACCGTTGTTACTGAAAATGGAAGAATTGTCCACAAAAAATTCATAAGAAATTAATCAGACAAAATATTTTGCAGGTTTCTACTGGCTGTAAGCCAATGCATGGGAGAATTTCGTGTTTTGGACTATTCAAACTCGAAACTTGTTGCAATTGATGTTGGGATAGCAAAGGTTCAAACTGGAACTTACAAACTTGTGCACATGTTTGACTTAGGAAATTACGAGAATGTAATACAAGATTTGGAAACTAGCATCTGGCAGAACAACGTAAAGCATCATCCTCTCCTACCTTTCCTTCACCATTCCCTTTCCCAAATAAAATCCTGTATCTACCGTTTAAAACCCAAGATAAGGTCAAAGAAATCTATTGACTTCTTAGGAAGTGCATGGAAATGGTTGGCTGGATCACCAGACCATCATGACTTCCAGATAATTCAAGAAAAAGTAAACAACGTATTGGCAAATAATAATAACCAAGCCATAATTAATCAGTTGTCCATAGAGAGATTGAATTTAATTGCTAATGCCACTAACAAAATTTTAAAGGACTTAAACAATAGTATGGAAACCTCTATAGAAAAGATAACGGAATTGAAGTACAGATTGGAAATCGTAAAAGAAGAAATTTTTAATGTAGAATTCGCCATTGAATGGGCGAAGGCCGGTGTAATCAATTCTTTTATATTTTCTAAGGTTGAAATTGATTTACTACAAAAGATATTTAACAATTCGGAAATACCTTTCAATAGCGTTGACGAATTACTAAAATTCGCAAAAATAAAAGTAGCATCTGATTCAGAAAGTTTAATTTATATTGTAAGCATCCCAACAACTAATAATGAGAATTGTAATTGTAACATCCTTAAACCTGTAAAATTTGCAAATTCCATTTATAAAATAAAATTCAATAAAATATTAATTTGTAAGAATAATCTATTAGGCATTAAGAATAAATGCGACAGTTATGAGAACCTGAGTATCTGCAGCGAGGAAAATACAGAGACTATTAAAGATTCAGATTGCATAGCCAATTTACTGCAGAGCAAACCATCCACGTGCGCTGTTACAAATAACGATGATATTCCATCCGTAGAACAGATCAATGAAGACTTAATATTTCTGAACCAATATTCAGGAGAAATTTTGATAAATGACTCCCCTTTAACTTTAAACGGAACATTCATTATTCACCATGCGGAGACAAATGTTACTATTGATGGACGATACTATTATGCGAAGAAAGAAACTGGAATAAAACCATTACCGGCTCTGGTACAACCTAAGGAAACAGACGAACAAATAGAAACCCTATCCCTTGAATTCATGAAATCTATTTCTATAAATAATACCAAAATAATAGAAACAATGCAAAAAAGAGAACGAATTAATTTTGGAATAGGCACTTCGATTTTTCTAACACTAACCATCATAATTGCCGTGATCCTTAGAAACAAGCGTTACCACAAAAATCCTGAGAGTAGCATAAAAATAACTACATCCGAAAAGGAAGACAAATTAGAGGAGATCACCACATCAGATACACCATGTCCATCGGCTGCCAAGAGGGTCAAAAGCCTAAATAATATTCCGTTTTTTTAACAAGGTGATGACAATATGTTCATACGAGGACGTATGAATTTAAAGGGGGAGGAGTTAAGGAGCAACATATTCATAATATTTTTGTGCTAAATATGATAATATGATCAGCCATGTGAACAAGTAGTGCAAATAGTTCCCATAATAAATGATATCAGGTTACATTATGGGAATAAGATGTTTGCTAAAATAAAACTGATGACACAGCGCACGTGTCGACAATGCTGTGAGAGCGGAGTTGGCAGAGACTTGCAGCGAAGCTAGCTTAAGTTCATAAACTGTTAATTTTAGTTTAGTTGCCATTTATAATCAATAAAATAAAGACGTGTTGATTCTCAACACGAAGTCTTTTTTAAAAATTAAAAATAACTTAAAAAGTTTTAACTTATATACAGTGGAGGACATAAATTTATGGACTACGAGGCCACTAAGTACATAAGAAAATGTATTGAATGGGTTTTCTGAAATGTGATTTTTAGAGGAAAGAGCTCCTCAAAATGTCTCTGTCACAAACGGAAAAACATTAATGAAGGGTAAATTTGTTGTAAATTGTAACGGTATCGTCGGATTCTCGCTACTTTGTATTTAGATTAAAATTGTCAATGCAGGACCTGTCTGCATTTCGATTCTTTTTCGGTATAATGAAATTTCAGCAAAACTTTATTTCTTAATTATCCCTAGATTACGCCTCTACACATATGTATATCCATAAATAGTTTCTAAACTAACCTAATTTACGCTATTACCTACATAATTCTAAAAATATGTAGACCAGATATTATAAGAGAATACCCCAAGGACCCATAAACGTAAATAGAAACGGCGCCTCATAATTGCATTACAAAGTGGCAATAATTTGCAATTGAAAATCATTGAAATGCTGTGTATCGCACAACAACAACAAAAGAAAACTCACGGCACGTACAATAAATTTGATTGGATGAACATCACAGGCAATTTGTTTAAATAAATAAAATCACCTGATCATATAGCTGTTGTTGTTGTTGTTGCTGCTGCTGCTGTTGTTTTTATACCTAAATAATCAATACTAACGCCTAAATTCATTCACATTCACATCCAAATCGAAATGTATTTGTTTACTAAGTTGTGTCATTTCATTAGTCGGAATGCCGTGCGCCATCGAAAATCCCCGTCTCTACCCATGTCAATCGTCCTTATCAATGCTGAGTGAAAGGAAGCAGCCACAATTCGTATAATTTCAATATATTTTGACATTTTGTTTTGCCAAAAATACGTGTTTGTCATTCATTGTCACTTACTGGGATTAGTTGTCAGCCAGCCATTGGGTAGGTTAGGGTTGGATGGGGACGGGTGTTGGCGATGAATAAAACGATGTCATTTAAATTCTTCTTCTTCGTCGTCTGATTACGGATACAGAAAGCTTCCTTGGGGAAACTCTTCAATATCATCAGAAATGCTATTGGGACCTTGAGTTGTCTTGTCGTGTAACCAGATTACTGGGAGGGTCGGGGAAATCGAATAGAAGCAAACAAAATAAAAATAATCCAAAGGAGAAAAAACAACTTGGAAAAATCAGGCATATTAGTCTTGGTTTTGTTTCTCGAATATGGGTGTTGCAAAATTGCCGCCATCCCTCAGTGCATTTATCAAAATTTCGTATTTGGTTGCGTAGGAATGTAGAAAAGCCAACCACCAAAATGTTGAAATTAAATTTAACGAAATAATGTCAATTGACAATTCGATAAGAAATGAACTGGCAAAGTTAAAACGAACATCCGTTGTTTGGTTTTAAGCGAGAACAGATTTTGGTTGTTTGTTTCTGCACGAACGTTGACAATGTTTTCGTATTAAGGCGATTAATTTGAATTTGATTAAGAATTTGTGTATCGTAAAAGACTAACAAGATTTTTTTACAATACTTCGTTTAAGATTTATTTTGTAAGCATTTTCTGGATTAAATTTGACTCGCTGTAATAATTTTTTATTGAACGGGAGAGCTGAACTTAATCTTAATAGTCAGGTCTTAATGCACGATATGCATCCAAAACTAACATTTGGAATGCATTTTTTAGATGCAAAGCTATGTAAATTTCTCAACTAGTCATTGGCTATGCTGTGATTTTCCCACATATGAATCTATTTGTGTGTTTTTGTTAAAAAAAAAAAAACAGCATTACATTCATAAAATTCTAACACAAATTGTCTGGTGCTGCCAGTTGCAAATTGTTACTACAGTCTAGTGAATGAAACAACAATAGAAACCGATGGGCAAACTCAGTGGCACGACATGCTTCTGAAACAATTATTTTGTTTCTGAAAAAAGGCATTCAAGAGAATTTTTGGAACTAACTTTTTCTTTTAATTACATTACAATAGCCTTGTGGGTGCGATGACTTTCATTATGGCCGAAGGCATATTTTCGCAGTGGGTTTTCAAATTTACAATTTCATGTTCATAGGAATTTTTATTGTACTATAGAGAATTCCGAACCTGGAATGTATTGGTGACAAATTTCTTTAGTTTATGAAGACAGGCATTTTTTGTTTGTGGTTTTAAACATAAAATATGAAGAGTAAAATAAGTAACGAAATAATATTCGGCATTGCTAATAGAAACTTCTTAGTGTTCAATTCGAACATATTTTAAAAGTTATATATGACATATATATATATATATATATATATATATTTTTTTTTTAATCATATTTTTAAAATCATATATATTTTATTTTAATGCTTTTATAATGATTACTTATAATATATGGCTGGATATAGACTCAAAACGTTCATCGAATCTAATATCTACACAAAGGGAGGTTATTCCCAAACGTGAAATAAACTATTCCAAGATCTAATTTTTTAACACAAAATATTCTTATTTGATTAGTTGTATTTTAATTTTCCAAGATTTTCATTGGGCTGGTAAATGAATACCAATGCATGTTAAGGTTTGTAACTTTACAATATATAATTGAAGATTTAAAAGTCAAGAAAAAAGAATTTGCAAAATTTGGTTGTTGTAGTTTTTTTGATTAAAGAAAAGTCCTTATTTTTTATGGCGGGCATGATAAATCCTCACTGGAACATCGGAATCCGGAAATTCCTCCCTAGATACCAATCTGGCCGTTAGTCCTGGTTTGACCACCGTTTGAGGTGCTTCACCGATCTTTGGCCACGATCGTTTGTTATCGTATGTGATGCATTTCTCATCTCCATCCGTTTAAGAAATGGATCTATCTCATTCGGTTTAGCCAAGGCTTCGCAGATGGAAATTCGATTCATCCTATTTTTTCTGTTAATTGGTGTGGCATCCAAACATCGAGCTTCTTTTTGAATTCAGCTTTGTGTAAATGGTTTAAAACAGTTTTATGGTCGATTTTTAGCTCCTGGGCGATGTTACGACTGCTAACATGCCGGTCAACTTCGATTAATTCTCCGATTTTATCGACATTTTCATAATGGATTTATTTTTCCAACCTAATGTAAATGGCAGTGAAACAAGATACAAAAGATGAGTGGTATAAATGTGTGTTGCCAAAAATGTATAGCTAACATAATCACCCTTTGTTTTTATATGCCAGTATAATATTTAAATATGGGCAAGCTCGGTCCACTCCATTCGCAGACAAAGTGTCAAAATTCATTATCAAGCGTTATCAAATATCCGATTTGATCTAAACAACGTCGTAATATTTGTAGCACACCTACATCAAGCCCTAATTTTCGTTTATAAAATGTTGCCTTTACTAAATTCCCCATTCACGCCAGAATTGCATAGTGCAAAAACAAAGATATCTAATTCAATGTCCGAAAACTGTAATTACAAACTCATAGATTTATATCTACATACAGAAATACATTTTCCATCCGGTATTACAACTTCTCACACTTCTATAGATTTGTGAAATTTCCTTTTGTTTTGGTGTTAATTTTCTCTCCGGTTCAGAGGGAAATTGCACAATGGTCTGCAGGCAGTGGTATCGGCAGCAGCAGCAGCTAACATTATCTGGCAAAGCCCAAAATTTATGTACGCTTCACCTGTTTTCTGAATATGACATTCATGTCCTTGGTAGTTAGGCCACTTAGTCGTCATATACAATCATATCAGCCTACATACATACAATAATACACATTGTGTATATGTATGTATGCGTGTGTGTGTAAGTATATTCATATTAAAATGATGTAAGTTGTCCGGATGTTTTCATAAGGATGTAGCATGGATTTTCGGTCAACATATTTTGCCAGTCAAAACAATTACACGCTTTGTTGCGCTTTCTGTATTGTGGGAATGGGCTTTTGTTCATCCAGGCCAGGCTCAGCATCAACATCCACACCAAAATCAGCAGCAGTGACGACGACATAACAAGCATTGGAGTACACATTCATACAATAGCAGCGCAGTACAGCACCTTGTTTGCTTCTTTATGCCTGTACACACACACACACACACACGCATAAAAGTGAATGGGTGTTGGTGTGATAGCTTTGGCATAATGTTATTGGGAAATTAGAATATAACACCTCATTGTCCTTAAATTAATCTACGCAAATGGGCTTCACTAATGGAATTAGACATTGTCTGTGTGCCAGCAGAATGGGAAGGCTGGCCTGCTTTATATCGCACACCGAAGTTAGTTAGATTGCAAAGGATTATGGCTGGTTGGTTCTGGAAACGGAAATTATATTTCGTATTTAAAACTAAACCTCACCCACTCACTAACTCACTCACTGGGTTGTAGAAAGTTAAAATTGGCATTGGGCGGCATGGTTGAAACGTTGCTGTAGTCGGTGTAAGCCAAGTTAAGCTTTATTACGTCCATTTCAGAAAGACAATGAATTAAGACGATGAGACGAGATTTGGCCACAACTTTTAATTAAGGAAAATATATCTTTTTTCCATTATTTATATGAAATATTTGCCCTTTTAGGCAATACAAATGAATCTGCATATGTTTCTATTTATGAACGAAGCCCCAAAGCGTTCTATTGACTTTTGAAGGTTATGTTTGTGTGAGTGTGTGTGGGTGGTCGTGCAAAAATATATCTCAAATACAAAGGTAAATAAAATATATATGACTACTATATGATGGTGGTCTGGTAATAAATCTGACTAAGCTCCTATTTTTTGTTTTTGTTTCCATTCTCTATTCGGCATGAGATATATATTTATACGGAGCATGATATTGTACCACCGAGTAAATAATCCAATAGGAATTAGATTCTAATTAGATATGGAACACATACAAGATGTGTGACAAATTTGCTACACCCAATGAATATTTGATTGGATGGAAAACTTTTCTTGTTACACTTAAGTGAAATTGGTACGTTTGAATTAGTTAATTAAAAGAAAACAAAACAAAACAGCATTCAATGCGGTTAAATTTGTTGTTATAGCTGA